TTTTTTTTTTTTTTTTTTTTTAAAGGCTCTTTTCAAGGTGTTGTGCGTCGATAGCTTACGCTACTTGCAGGAGCGTCTAGCGCTACAGCACCTCCTACCTGCTGTGCCATCGCGATGCGTAATTGTGCGCGAGTCCAGAGGACTCGAGTCCTGCTCGATCGTCACCATGGGATATCTCGAGTGGTCGATCATCTCACGGCCACGCGACAATTACGTATCGGCATGCGTCTGGCACTCCTCGCTGCATGAACTCACTCGATTTCGTTTTTGCATTCATTTGCGTTCTGCTTACCGTACTGTTTGGTGCGAACCGGATACGGTATCGTCGTGGCACCCTCTCCCCTTTGACTCCTCGCGGCTAGCCACACGTAGTATAAGGTGTTCGGATACAGACCGGTCAGAGTATAGTTCTCGGTGACAGCTATTCTGCGATGATGCTTTTCCTGAGTAAACACGTCAGATAAAACGTTAGCGCGATACGTAATATCATCTCGATTAATTATCTTTTTTAGAATTGCTCATAAAAAATTTCAAAATCAGTTTATTTCCAGAGTTTCAAATCCATTTAGCTTCCACACCGTTAGAAAAATTATTTATTCATTCTAATATAATAGGAAATTTAAAAAATATCACTGACGTCTGGCGCGTAAGCATGAAAAAAACTTGACAAAAATTGTTATTTAAAAACAAAGAAATTGGAATCTGTATTGTAAATTTATAATCACCTACCTTCGCATAAGTGTCGTTCCAGTACAGCTCATAGCTGAGAATATTCTCAGCGCTATGAGCGGGCTTGCCCCATTGGAGCGTTACTTTGGTCTCCCCGATGTCGACCGCGGTTAGCATTTCAGGTTGACTTGGTACCCCTTGTTGTGTTTTGATTTGCACCGGTAGACTGAGCGGTCCAGGACCGACGCTCGTGAGCGCCTGAACTCGTATGGTATAGATTGTGTGCGGTGTCAACTCCGAGATGGTGGTCAGCTGGCTATTGTCCACCATCTGGTACTGCCACGACGCCATAGGTTGATTCGAGTCCGTCGTGTAGTACACTTTGTATCCCTACGAAAGTGCATCGCGCGCTCGTTAGCGAAACGCAGTAATCCGCGCAAAACGCAGCGAGAATATAATTACGGAAAAGACACCGACCGTCACTTGACCGTTTGGGGTTTCCGGTTCGTCCCATTGTATGACCATCGTGCTGGAGCTCAACGGCCGTACCTGAACTTTCCGAGGCGCTGTACCGGGTTCTAGAAAAAAAGATCGGTCGATCTTTAACGTTATTAACGTACGAAGTAGGCTAGATGCACACGAATTACACAACCAGTTAATTACACGATAAGATAGAAAAGAAATCCTTCGGAAAATCCATAAGAAACCCAATAAGAGGTGCGTGAAAATAAAGAAAAATTACGAAATCAAGTCCCATTTTGTGTGACGACACTACGGTGACGAACACATTTCTCAATAACTCACACCGTACGTAATTAACTACGAAATAGCAAAAATATATACGTGCGTAATATGAGTAAAAATTACAATCGTATATAGTTATGTGAAGTAACGAACCCAGGAGAAACCCAACCAAAATAAAAAAAAATGAAACAAGAACATGAACAGGCAAATGAATCGGTGTGAGTATTACTACGGCACTCTTAGTATATGATTTGACTTACTGGCACCTCCATTCGTTGATTCCGCTATCCAAAAAAAAATGTCAAAAGATTATTGTCACTTCTCGGTACATAAGTGGGCGACAAGTGCGGGGTGAAAATACGAAGCGCGAGTGTGCGGTCCACGCCTCCTTCGTATTTTCACGGGGTGAGAAGTGTGTGCTACTATTTTGTAGGAAAGGTGCAATTTCGCGTGCTGTCTCCCCCTCGTGTCTCGCCCCCCCTCTTTTGCAAAACGAAAGAAAGGAGACGGAGAGACGCACCCGAGAAGGAGAGGTAGAGTGAAAGAGAGAGAAAGTGAAAGAGATAGTAAGGCTGGGGATGTTAGAGGCGTGAAAATACACAATGACACGAGACGTCGAAGCGCGATGAAACGCTGTGAAACGGCCCGGCAAAAAACACTAACACATTGGTGCAACAAAGAGCAGAGGGGAGTTTGGTGATAGGTGAAAAAAATTTTCTTGTCACTTACATGGATCAAATCGTGCGTCCACGGCGGACAGCATGGAAAAAAGTACAGAATTTCCCTCAAAAAATGTGCGTAAAAATTCGCTCCTCTTTCACGATGGTGTACAAAAAAGTTCTATCTACGTGCAAAAAATTCGCGCTCATGTCGGAGTAGTGCCGTTTCTCCACTCCTTCATGTTATCGTTCTATGCGAACGCGGATGCGCGCAAAAAATTGCCCGGTCCGAGATGTGTCCGCGCTTTTAATCGGTAAATAAGCTTACTGCGACGCACGTATGTTCGTTACGAGACGTGGAAGTGAAACGCGAATTAATCCGTGAGCAGGTTTACTTTGTCGTAGCGATCGTGACATAGATGCCCCATGAAGTCTCCGTAAAGGTACCATCAAAAATAACTGACTTAAGAAATGTTATTACTTCTCGTTAAGTTTGATTATACGATGAGCTTGAAACGATGAGACTGGCAAGAGAAGAATGTCGATAAAATGAGAGATATTTCGGTAGAAACGATATTTTTCCTCGCATGGATGTTTAATTTGACGTGTGAGTGACAATGAAGTTTAATCAGCGGAAGATTCGTTCTTAAGACAACGATTTACAATTATAACGATATCTTCATAGATATTAATCAACATTGCCGGTAAATTCATATCTACACACAACATCAAGTAAAATTTTGTCTCCACTATTGTTTTTTTGGTGTGAAGCCATAAATATCCATACGGAAAGATAATCGTTTCTAAGCTACGAGAGAAATATAAACATAATTAGAAATTAGCACGCAAAGTAAATATTTATGGTACTGACTTGTTTCACCAGTGGTGACTATCACCGGGGCACTTGGGGGACCACGCCCGATGCTGTTCACGGCTATCACGTAGAGCTCGTACTCCGTATACGGGCTGAGACTCCTAACGTGATAGTACATCGTCGTGATGCCGGATATCTCGGCGTACGCTTGATTCACGTGCTTCGGTTTATGTTGAATGACGTAGTACTGCAGGTCGCCCGGTTCTTTGTAGGACCAGCTCAACTTCACCGATGTCGCGGTGATATCCGACACTTGAACGTTCTCTGGCGGGCCGGGTAGAGCTGCGAAGGGATTATTGCGATTTTATTTTCCCGAGCTGGATATTGGATAGTGGGCGATGGGTCAATTTCGCGTGAATAATAACGGTTTTTATAAATGTCATATTTGAATCGCCTATGATAATACAAAATTATCATTGATGTTTAAAGGCTTCACAAATAAATGCTGCAAACACGGTAATAAAGAAAATTTGTAGGCAATTTCTTTAGGCAACTATTCCGTAATAATCGGACCAATGTATCTTGGTGTTGTTATCGTAATGCAAGGTTTAAGCGGATCGAGATTAGTCCTTCCGGTGAAAGCATAATGGAGCGGAATGCAGCGGATGACTAATCGGCTTGTATCACGTAATCCGCGATAACATAACCGGAAAATGCGATCGAAGAAAAGGTTTGTGGATCCATAATTATGGAGGGGACGATGAATCGAAGTTCGATACGTACATTGAACCTTCACCATGGTGGTCGCCTCGATTACGCCAAGATCGCTGGCAGCTGTACACGTATAATTAGCAGATTCCTGAATTTCCGTCAGTCTCAAGACGTTTTTGCCGACTGGTAGATTATCGTCCGGCGTAAGATCGGTTGCGGGATCCTTTCTCCATTTTACGAAGGGCATCGGCGCGCCGACCGCGACGCAGGTGAGATTCAGCGACGCACCCAGCATCACTTCGCTCACCGTCGGTGGCGGAATCGAGAAGTTCGGTGCGACGCGACGCACTGGCGAGCACAATTGATAGCCAGGATAATTAATTTTTTAATTTTCCAATTTCTACAAATTTTAGTTAATTTTCAAGACTTAGTGTGTTAAGTGAAAAAATAAAAAATTTATTATCTACTCGCTCCTCTGCATTTTAATTCGTGGAATTTCATGGAAACTCTTAAATTTACAGTCGCGTTCATGATAAAAAGTTTACTGATCGATATTTTTGTTAAACGAATTAACTCTAAATTAAACAAGGTATCTACGGATAAAAAATGCAGAGAAGCCAGTTATATCCCGTGTATAATACCTCGTGTATATGTATGACTGTTCGCAGTAAGTTAAATTACATTATGATCGCGCCCGCGTGACCGTTTGTTTATTTACGGGCGACATTAAATCGAAATGCAAATGCGCGTAACGGCACATCCAATTAGAGAATAATTACGTACGCACGTTTTACGATGGCAAATTAGCTGTGGCCTGCGAAAATTCGCGAAACGCAGCAAAACGCCGAACGATTATTTCAAAGCCGTCTCGCAGATTTTGCAAATCACGACTGCGGCAATTAAACCGGAATGCACAACCGTCGAGATTCAAAATCGCTGTGAAAACGCAAGAAATGAGAAGTCTCGGCGCGTAACATACGCGATGTGACTCACGCAAGGCTCTTTGTGCCGCCCGTTTAGTTTAATTACGTCCTAATTGCGTTACATTAATTTTAATTACGAACAAGAAAACGTCTGCCTTGTGTAGCATTGGCGTGACTGTGTGCCTAGCTCACGCTGTATTTGTTATTTGGTCGACAAAAATGTTGTCCCTTTGCGGTTTCAAATGCGTTAATTTTCATAAAAATATTTTTTTGTTTCTCCCTTTTTCTTTTTAATTATATCTAATAAGATGCTGACAAAGAATAATTTATTTGTCACAAAGATCACAAATACTTATTAGCTAAGCTGGAAGATATAAATGCTTCATAATTAATTAATTCAACTTATTACATTACAATCCGCAGGCAAGCATTTATAGCAGTTAAGCGACATACCTTTCACATATAATGTGGTCGATTTCGAGTACTCTGTGCCTACGGAGTTGTTAGCGACGCATTCATACTTTCCTTGATCCTTTACGTCAGATTCGGTAATTTGCAAGGCACCTGTAATACAAATCCACAAAAATCTCTTTTAAACAATTCAACATTATTAATTATAATAATTCTACGCGAATAGTTTTATACGACATATATATATAAAAAATTCTATATGCTCGTCAATATTGTCTACAATTGTCTACATATTGAACTTTGTTAATTATCATTGTTTTTTTTCATTGTCATAGTATCCTTAATTAATGTAGTGCTGCGAGATTTCATTCGACAGTGTAGAATTATTATATTACAATATATCGAAGTAGGACACTGTTTAATGAATTCTGAGCAATCTCCATTTTGTGCAATTATTTAGAGCGAAGTATGGAAATACGTATGCGTTGAACTCGGAACGCATTTGAGTGGACGTCCGCATTCTCTGCCGCGCTTTTTACTTCGTTTTTCGAGCGCTAATAGAGTTCCTACCATGTCCTGCGGAGACGGTACGCCCAGCAGGGCCGGAAAAGGGCGGCCACCTCCGAGTCGCCCTCTCCTCTCTCACCCGCTCTTTCTCTACTTTTCTCACCCTGACTCGTACATTCCGTTTCCGTCCGGCTCGGCGTTCGTGCGAGGCTTTCCACGATGCATCAACCCCCTTAGAGCGCGATACCGCGATGATGAACTGGCCGTTGCGAGCCGTGTGATTATCTTCGTCGACGTCACTACCGACCTAGTATAATTCAAACCTCTATCCCTCCCTCACTGACCTTCTCCACCCACTGAGAAACCGCCCTGCCCATTCGTAAAGTAAACACTGGCGAACGTTGGGAATCGAGAATGGGGGGGGGGGAGAATGAGAGTAGAATGGGGAACTGCCGCTGCTGGGGTTGATCGTTCGCTTTTACCCTTTCTGACGTTTAATCGAGCTAACGGTTATAATTAGGGAATGATCGTAGGCGAGATAAGCGACAGGCGTGCAAATAACACGGAAGAGTTGTCACGATACCAGGGCCGTGCGACAAAAGCTGCGCGATGTCGATTGAAAACAATATGCGAGCGTAGAGCGCGCTTCGTCTAGTAGTAGGTCGTATGCATCACAGTAGGATGCGTCGAAACGAAAACGCGACAGCACAACTGAGAGGGTTTATCTCGAAACTCGCTGCGCTCCGTATATTTTTTTCCATGGAAGACAAATACTGTGCGCGCGGACCGACCGTGTGTTGTTTTCCTTGCGAGTGAGCGAGCGAGCGAAACATGTACGCGTCGCTGATAAAGGGCGCCGTTTGGATATTATAGCCTGGGGTAAAACGGCGTCCGCAATTACTGGCGTGACCCGGTGCGTGGCTGTTAATTTCGCAGGCCGCCAAATTTTCCCCGGCTGCCGATTTCGGAATTCGTTATCCGGCTGAGTAGGCTCACGTGCCATACGTGGCGGCTTTCAGTGGCCGCATTGCGATCGTGGCTCCGATCGTGCGTGAAAGAGACGATGGAGACGAGCAATGGCGTTATTAGGATTTTTGAAGCCTTTTTCCTCTTGGAAGGTTCGATTTAATCCTTCATTGATATATTCCAATTTTATTGATTCACGTCAATCATCGATTTTCAATTTAGCTTCTTTGTTTTTCATTCTATATCTGACCTTACCAATTTAATTAAATATTTGGCAAAAAAATTATGAGAGAAAATTGATGAATATTTCAGGATACGAAAAAATTTGACAGTTTCTTTATCGCTAGCTAAAATTTTATTTTTAAATGTAATAGAAAAAGACTGTGCGCATTTTAATTTTAAGCCTTATGATTTTTCGAGTTAACTCTGGAAAGGAAACAGCTCATCTAGGATACAGTTCGATAAATATTCGGTAGAAAGAATGAGAGAGAGTAAGGGTGGAGGATAGAAAACACTCCATCACGAGCGAGAAGCGAGGCGGACTGATATCGCGTACGATCGGAATACGTAATCGTGCCTCATCTACAATTTCCCGTAAGCCGACCAGGAAGGAACGCGCCCGATCGTATTGTTATCCCGATGAAGTCACGTATGCATTGTTAGCACACCGTTGTGAAAAAGTTGTGCTTGATGAAAAACTATAGTAATACATACGAAGTTCAATATCTGAAAATAGTTTTTTATATTGATTCCGAAATGGTCAACATGTTAAAAATGTACCGTGCTTTCTAGATATTTCGATAATGTCATTTCAGTAGTTTCAGAAATGTATAATCGCAATTCGCCACGCTGTTGCTAATAATTGATATCTCTCTTCTTTTTTCATATTTGCTTTTTTGGTCATAAAAATTCTAATAAGTTCTCATTTTATGGTATTTGCATTTTTCAAGAGTAATTTTATTAGATTCTGCGGACGACGAGATTTTGATACGAAGACGTTTAATGTTTGATTTGTTCAAGTTAATGGTTAATTATAAATCACTATAAATATATTGCAGATTTTTAAAAATTATTTAATATAATTGTATTAACGGTTTAATATTTCATTGCATTTTAATTTAATATTTCTATTAAGTAATGATAAATTTGTCACTGGGCCAAATTATAACGAAATATTCTTTCGGCACAAATCTATTATTAAAAATAATGTCTCTTTTCCGTCTTATATAGGTTTTATTAATATTCGTTTTAATATCCCATTGCCTGGTGGCGGCGTCATAACTTTTCGCTTTATCGCGCACGTGCGAGGTAAAGAACGATACAGAATTAACAGCAGAACGCGCGAATTACCATTGGTTTAACGATAACATTTCTACGGCGTAATAGCCGCTTAAAATATTCATAGTGGCTGCAAAGAGGGATGGCATTACTAACGGCGGTGAACAATTAGATTTTAAACACGTGAGACACGACGCAAGACGGTGATAATGCGTCGTGCGGACTGTTCTTTATAAATTTTAAATAGCCAACGCACGCGAGAGAAACGGTCCGCGCACGGCTAATACAGGTTACTGTTGCACGTAAATGCAACGAAGCATGAAAAGATATTTGCGTTAAAAGGCGTTGACATAATACCCTGTTCGACGTTTCATAATCCGAGTTTACCGTATCGATCGGCAAGTCAAAGTCAGGAATATTTTAAGTGACTAGAATAGATAGCGTGCGGGATATATCTTTATCTTCTTTTCGTGAAATTTTCCTATGAAAAATGATTGTTCTCTGGAATACATATTTATGCGTATTAAACTCTATGCGTTTTTCGTGCTTTTTTGAAACAAGTTAACTTAAAATTGGAAATTCTTGTTACGATCAATATATCACGTCAATTTTTAATCATATTTCAAAATGTGAGGATGTTATTTTTTTCAAATCTGACTCGCCGTTTTTGAAAATAGCAGCTCATACATTTCGTTATAACGACGATATCGCGTATTTCCGCAAAATTTCTCGCCCTGTTCTTTTACCTCGAAAATCGATGCAATATACATGCGTAAATGTCTAAGTTTGGCTTTCGCTTTATGATGCACAAAGGACATGAGAGATGGGTTGCATCGGTTCGAGCGCAATTTTTAATATCGCACGCTCTGTATATAAAATTACGAAAACTGCTTCTATCTCCATGTTTTATTTGGACAGCAGTATGATGTCTTGTTTTTATTAAATAGTTGTTGGCCATGCATTTTGTTTTTATATTCACAAAATACGGAACGAGATACATGGCTGAATAAAAATAATAGGTGAATATCATGGTTCTCTCGTGCTAGGTCGATCGATATGGCTGGTACATGACAATTAACGACGCTCACGCACTTTGATACGTGACACAACGGCAATTTTTGTCGAGAAAACATCGGTTTCATGCTCGTCAATGAATCTATCATTGGTGGTTACAGATTGAGATTTATAGTGAATTATTCGTACATTAGTTGAAGAGTTAAAAGCTCGCTTTTAACTTTTAATTTTTTTATTAAATCTGGATACGATATATAAATATTGCCTTTTATGATTTAAGATTTTTATTTTATTGCATATTTTTATTATTTGTCATTGAATAATTATATATATTTAATAAACAAAATTGCGTGATATAAAAAAACTGCAAATATGAAATATGGAACGTTAACGTTAAACTGCAAGACAAATGACGCAAATGAATGAGTATGATGTAAATTTTCTTACGTTGTTTTCCAACTGACTGATTCAATCGAGAAACTTCGCGATCAACGGATACACCAGTCGGATGTACGAAGTAACGTCGAACTTTCCGTTTGGAAAATTGCATTCGTTCCTCGCGAAAGCTTCATGTTTCGCTTGTCAGTAGGCGCAGCGACTGCATTTTTCTCGGGCCTTTCCGCGAGATCCAGGACGACTGCAGAGATATGCAGCGGCACGCGGATGTGTATGCATACGGTGCAGACGAAACGACGGGCAGCTATTTGTGTGTTTGCCGACCAATATTGAAATATCTTCTCTTATATTTAATATTACGAGAGCAAACGCGACGCACGCACACACAGTACAAATATGCGAAGTACGTCCCATCTCACTCTGTCTCTTCACCTCGTCCCCGGTCCGTGGATAGCATGCGTCGCGGGGTGAAATCGAAGGATGAAGCGGGGATGAATTCACCCCGTACGGCTCGGTGAATACAGGATTCCATCCGGATAGAATACAAATAGGAAATATGTTTACACTGAAAGCATTCCGAAAAGTGTGTGTACTGTGTATACCTTCCGATGCGTTCGTTCTACGACACTTTTTAATTCCGACATGTGTATTGAACGTGGAGTTTCATTTCAATTACATTAGAGCTCCCATCTCCGATCTTGCGACTCAGTTTGCAATCATTAGAAACAATTCCGGGAATTATCGCATTTTTCATTACTAAATCCAATTAAAAATTTATAGAAAAAGGCTCTAATACACATTTTTAGAAAATTGGTCTTCCATTTAAAAATTCGTGGATGTTAATTGAGTTCCTAAAAAGATATATGAGAAGCTAAATTAAAAATTTTTTATATTTTTTCCAAGTAGATTTACATTCTAAAATTATCTGATCCCTAGCTATTTTCTATACAAAGGAAAAAAAATGAAAAAAAAAAAGAACTTGTTTTCCACAG